CAAATGAAAGAAAACTTGAAGAATTTTTTCACCAGTTTTCACATTATTCCAATCAACCAACCTTGAAGATGAAGGATGACCTCAAGTGGTAGCGTAAAACATAGAGAACACTCCACAAAATGGTACTAAGGTATCGTCAACATGGATTCGGAGGTAAGATGCTAGATAAGATCTCTAGGAGTGGTTCTCACGGACTGGACAGAAGAATGTACCACTTCCTGGAGTACTGCTGTTATTTATCGATTTTCACGGTTGGACAGATTTCAGGAACGTGCCGTTGCTCCCAAACTTTGTGACATTATTAACAAATTGATTTGTTATCGTCGCAGTCTCTTCACAAACAGTGTCAGCCTAGTTGGGAAAAGGCTATGTGCTAGGCTGTACATAAAAGAGAAAGAATTGGAAGAACCGCGACCTCCAAAACGTACCTTACCAGCGACAGAAAGAGGACAAGTAACAGGGTGACCGTTTAGCTACGGCACTTCTAATAACCGGGAAAAGTTATCTGGAAATATGAACTGACCAAATACGCTTGCAACGGTACAGCTTGGATGGTCACCCTAAATCTCAAGAGGCAACTCAGAACGTTATCAGTCGGACGGACTCAAAAAGAATGAGGTGATCGTTTTGTTGAATTACTGCAGAGTAAAGCTTGGACCTCCCAGGACCGAACACACAACAGCTACTGGATGTAAGACCATCCCTTTTGCGAAACAATAATACAGAAAGGCCGTCACATGCAGAGTATGCTGATAGACTTGACGAAAGTTCGCCCGGCTTTATGTATAGTTCTAACACGACTCTTTTTACATCAAGTAAAAGCAAAATGAAGACACGCTAGCTATATCTAGATGCTTTCCTAAAACTAGGATCGGAAAATGGTTGACTGGTGGGAAACAAAAGAGGACGCATCTATTAGGGGGATTTCTACCGAAGGTGACCACCACAAGTCAGTAGCTTGGCCGGTAGATAACGCGGATCGGCGTGAAAAAGAGAGCGAGATACTTTTACTGATGGAATGAGCCAACGCACCCGGAGGCATTCCATTGAAAGGTCTGTCGATGATGTTTAATACATCCCAGCGTTTGCGCATTGCTCCTCTCGGTCACGTCTCCCACAGAATGAGAAGATCCAAAAAAATCAATAAAGTTGGGAAATGACCAGGGGATATAGCGATTTTAAAGACCATTTCGTACTCATTCAGTGTCAAACGAATCGATCCCTCTTTGAACAGATTCCCTAATAACGGAGGATCATTTTAGCCAATCACGTGCGTGTTCTCCCAAAGTAGAAAACACCTTATTATTTCCAGCTAGGTTACGTCAAATTTTCTCCCGCTTCCCAATTCGCTCATGAACGCTACATGTCACTATCTTGAACTTCTACCAGAAGAAGTCGGTATCCTTTGCTACCGCGAGTGGTCATCGGAAGATCGTTGATTATTACGATGAAGCCTCATACTGAATCACTTGTTGACACTTTTTTTTATTTGCCCTGAAGTTGCAAAGTTGCTTCAACTCCTGGACAAAGACTGTGGCAAAACAAACGGCCTCGGAGAAAAATCAATCAAATTCAGTTCTACAGTGGATGTGACCACCTTCTGATGGGATAACGAACATTGTGTTGCGATTTCCATGCACAGTCACGTGGTTTCAGAGACAAGATCAACACAGACAGCGACAGAATCAGCTAAAGGAGGTGCCGTAGGTGCCACGGTACAGTGTTCGATCTTGAACATGTGATGGATTTGGCTGTTCGTGGCACAACCTGCCTCAGTTGCATTAGAATCCTGAGGTTTGGGAACGTCTGTTCGATCGTAATGCCAAGGGTATGTCTCACAGTGAGGCTCACGGCTGCCACACTTCTGAATGGTTTTTCGACGGGTTTACATGAACAATGAAAAGTCAAACGTAGTACTAAAATTTTGTCACCAGAATGAATACCCCATAATACTAACAAACCATCTGCATATAAATAAGAACCAAAAAGCAATGGAACATTCAGCTCAGTTGATCCATGAAGGCAGATGACATATCACTAACTTTTATGTATGGCGCCGATCGATAAAACCTAGTAGTTGAATTCTAGTCAAATACAGCGCCCGTGCTATGTAATGTGCACAGCTGGACCGTTTGACATTCCAAGTTCCCATTCTTAATCGCAGTCAACAACATAAACACCACTGTTCGTGAAGGGTTGCTAGTGACGCATTCATCCGAATTGTTCGTATTTTCTTTTGTTGTGTATACTGTAGCTACCCTTTCGCTACATACATGGCTGTACAGGTCACCGCCACTAGCTGGATCACGAGATCTATTTTTTTCCTTGCACTCACACATCACGCTACAATCACGACTAACTTGATTACACAGCTCACAGTCAAGCCCCTCATCCCAAGACCTGGTTTTTTCCCTAATAGTACAAACCACGATACACATTCGATATCGACTGTCTACCGTCTGATACGGTAGCAAAAAGTCATGTCCTGACACCCACACACACGCAAACGTCCTACAAATAGGATGCCAGCACAGCAACACGACACAACTGAACAGAGCTTCGCATGTCGCCCAGCTCGGAGCAGAGCCGCTCAGGATTTTTACGGCGTTTCACTCACGGATTTTCAGGAATACGTGTGGCTGCTACAACAGCGAAGAAAACACGAAACCTGCATCCGGATTTACAACAGGATTTATCAAACTGTACCTGCAAAACGATAAGTCCCTTGTTTGCATATATATCTATTGTAATAATTTTCCTCAACAAGCGGACATTGTTAGTGCTCCCCGTTTTCTCGTTCGTATAACTAGTTTTCGGGTTCCGTTAGAACATTAACAATACTTCTTGGTGTTTCCGAATAACTAGGCATCATCCAACTTGATTCGTTATTCTAGTTTGCACATCGCGAACGCAGTTTTCGAAAAAAAAGTGAGCCGCAGCTCCACTGGTACATGTACTAAATTTGAAAAGATAGAAAGAAAATGGGGTTGTCTTAATGGTCTAACGGAACCCGAAAACTAGTTATACGAACGAGAAAACGGGGAGCACTAACAATGTCCGCTTGTTGAGGAAAATTATTACAATAGATATATATGCAAACAAGGGACTTATCGTTTTGCAGGTACAGTTTGATAAATCCTGTTGTAAATCCGGATGCAGGTCTCGTGTTTTCTTCGCTGTTGTAGCAGCCACACGTATTCCTGAAAATCCGTGAGCGAAACGCCGTAAAAATCCTGACGGGCTCTGCTCCGAGCTGTGCGACGCGCGAAGCTCTGTTGAGTTGTGTGTGTTGCNTCCGCCCGTATCAGAGGGTAGACAGTCGATATCGAATGTGTATCGTGGTTTGTACTATTAGGGAAAAAACCAGGTCTTGGGATGAGGGGCTTGACTGTGAGCTGTGTAGTCAAGTTAGTCATGATTGTAGCGTGATGTGTGAGTGCAAGGAAAAAAATAGATCTGGTGATCCAGCGAGTGGCGGTGACCTGTACAATCATGTATGTGGCGAAAGGGTAGCTACAGTAGTTTGTGCGCAGGTTTGGCACACAAAATCTTGAAGTGCTCTCTGTTGTTATTTCCCCCGATTGAGCAACCTCCTTCGGCTGAATAGAATTCGACGCATTTCGTGTAACTCTATGAGGAAAGAATGATCGTGTTTACTTCGTCCCCTGGTGCCGAAATCAGCGCGTAGTTTTATACTGAGTGCTCCTACCTCAAGGTAGGTGCATATTTGAACACTGGAGATTCACTAAAACTTTTGAGTCTTCCAAGGTGTTTCTTAGATGCTTCCTTACAGGAAAAGAACACGAGCGAATATGCGTTTAGTCTTGTCAACTATCCGGCTAATTGACGCCAAGCATAGTGACAACGATCGCTGTTTGCCGACATTAGTGGGTAACGCCCAGTCACATGTCACTCTGAGCACAACCTAAGAGCAACAAAGCACTAACAAATATCGATACCGATGAAACGAATAAGAAACATTTTACATGCTGTAATCACGCGGTGGGTAACTCACGTGGTCGCCCGTTGCGCATGGAAACCTTGTGTGCTCACCAGTCCTAATCACTGAGTGAAGGTTCTAATTGTTGTTCATAGAACCTAGGCAACAGGGAATGAATACCTGTCCAATGAAGCTAATCTTTTGTCATGTTACTTCTATACATAGTATTGGAGATTTCTGACTGTGTCTTCATTCCTGCGATCACTATTGTGCACAACGAAAACGTCCCATCTCACTAACCTGTAGGACTGTTCTCATCATGGCCCTCGTTGTCATCCATAGTAACATAATCAACCATGTCGGAAACTGGTGCTTAACTACTCTACATTCACGGCGAAAGATGACCCTGGTATATTGACAAGAAAGCAAGGACGAAGGGCTAGGAGTATCAAGACCTCACGCTCTTGGAGATAACGGCCAAGAACTTGCTCCTTCGGATAGCTTTGAGGTAACAGCTTGCCGAGTATTGTGTTGGCCTAGGACACCATCAGTGGTAACGAGCTTGCAGCATTTGCGACAGACAAGCATTAGCTAAGCAGCCCGGTTAGGAAATGACAGCATGCTATCGAATGGGGAGGCCTGCATATCATGTTCTGTAGGATTTATTTCCATGTACAAGAAGGATCACGTAGATTCCTCCAGGAAGGTGCGGAGGTCGTGCGACGGCTAATTTATCATCTTGATAAGATGATACTTGAGGTTAGAAACCCTTCAGCAAAGGGATTATCAAAAACGAGAGACCCGTCTGGGTACCGTGCCACATTCAAATCCGTTTGCAAACGGGCGCTCAACTCCACGTCTACAGGAATTTGGTGCCCGGAACTAAAACCTGGTGCATTCTGCAAGTATGTACGTCATCAAAAGAGGCTGGTCTGGAAGTGTGTGTGCCATTGTTACCTGTCCACCACGATCTGATTGGTCAGCCAATCCCTTTTAAACCAGTAATCAATCGACTTGTACATCTATTATCAAGATTGCTAGCTAACGTCCTACAAATAGGATGCCAGCACAGCAACACGACACAACTCAACAGAGCTTCGCACGTCGCCCAACTCGGAGCAGAGCCGCTCAGGATTTTTACGGCGTTTCACTCACGGATAGTCAGGAATACGAAGTAAGCAGATCAGAAATAGACTTGCCCCTTTCAATTTGGGGCATATGAAGAAATCAGAGCTTTCCACTACCCTGTTATGAACTTAAAAGTTCCACATTATACACCGCTCAATTTTTCAACATTGTCTGAGCCGGCTAGGAACTCCTAAATCAGAAATGTCCTTGATATTTTGAAAATTCAAAACACTTCTTTGAAGTTGTCTTTTCATCCTGAGTAGTCCGTAGTCTTTTTGGTTTTCCTGTCTAGGGAGGCCATCTTTAAACAAAATAGGGTCAGAATCTCTGTACCGATTGCCAAGTTTTGGAGGCCCGAGTACGTCAAATCAATGTTTCATCTTAGTGCAAGGACAAGCCACGGAAGTAGGTACCCACAGTGCTCACCTCGACGCATTTTATGCTTGGATGAACATGGAATCTGAGCAGGACTAGAAAAGTTTTCAATCTACTAATATTCTTATTTCGGCTGCTAGTGGTTTGAATTCTCGCAGACTCTTGAACTGTGTACGGTATAAATTGGCACATTCGAAGCCTGAAATAAGAGAGAAGCACACGTAAATGGGTTCTCCAGTTGTAACAGTAAGACTAATTCCTTTACTATCCCACTTGGCTCCCGCGAGAAAGTTGTAAAGTGGACTAACTAAGGAGATATCACCAATTAAAGCACAACCTTCAGTAGGGGAATGTACAGTTGTAAAACGCACACACTACTGGTATCAAGTGATCCCAATTTTCACGTTTCACTGAGCAACTTGAATTGCTGTCCGTTGGCGGATACAGTAATCGGTCCATAAGGAAACATGCACTCTTGAAAACGGATGAAACCTTTGAAGCGGACGAGAATTAAGGAACGTCTTCTAGGTCTAGTGCACCGGGTTAGTAATAAGCCCGGGTTTTTTTTTATGTTTTCAACAACAACGAAGAATGTGGGGAAATCACTCTATTCAACTGCAGTGTGCCCCAAAACACACAGTCTTGAATATGTGGAAGTGTCATACTGGTGCATTCGTAAGATTTGCCAGTATGCTTTCTTTGGATCATATCCTCTGGGCGGTAAGGGTTTATTCTGTACTAGCTGGCTAAAATCCAGCAAGAACAAAAAGCGACCATATGTGTCATGAAGCTGTGCTTAGACATTACGATCGAATGGGAAATATTGAGGGATTCAGATATAATGAGTTATCACTGTTGTTTGAACTTACTGTGTAGGTGCTGCAGCAATAATTCAAACTTCCGAAAGTGCCCTTTCCATAAACTGTTAATAAACTAAATTCAACGGTATCCATGGGAGATGATGGCGTGACCAAACGGTGTGGAGAGTATTATAGACACCATCTGTTTCCGTGTGACCGTCGGCTTTACTATTCACCCGGATATTAGATAAATGGCAAAGTGCATTGCTGGGACGCCTCCTGTGGGGAGATAATTTCACATACTCTGAAACTTGATTGTCTATCGTCCTAAGATGTGATGTACTATTACTGTGTGATGTGATCATTACGTCTAATACAGCTGACATATATCCAACAAATCTGTTGGGTGCAAATATTCTGAAGTTGTGCACCTGCCAAAGACACTGCCCATTGTACATAACCCAGTCAGAATGCTAAACGTTTATCGAACCTTAATCAAATTGGTCCATGGCGAAAGGTTTAACACTTCAGTTTACTTTAATGTGTCCGATACCTTAGTTGAGCTGTCGCAACTTGGTACGGATCTCCCCGATGAGGGAACACTTGTGTGGGGATAATGAAATGTTTTCCAAACGGTAGTGTTTCTTCGTAAAACTTACCTCAAACGTGTAGTGGCAAACAAGCAACAGGGTGACGTTTTGTAAATCATTCATTCGGTTACAGAGATATCATCTTCTCAGTGCCATTTTTCGCAGTAACGAACTGTCGTATGAAGGCCATCTTGCCATGGTGAAGCTACCTTGTGTAACTAGGTCACATTCCGACTCATTTTTACGGTTACGTCGACTAGTAGTCGCGCCTATGATTATCCCCGCAGCAATCATGTGAGTCCCACAAACCGAGGTGTGTACGGCTGCATATCACACTGTGCTACTCTGTGTAAAGTTGGCCAGAGAGACCAACCAAAGAGTAGCGCAATTCTGTTGGGCAGGTAACCGAGGCTAGACTTCCAACGTTGTGCTATCTTAACAGTACTGGCTGGGACCAGAGGGGCAATGATTCAATTTTTTCTTGAATCGGGCAGTCCGAAAAATCGGGTCGGTGTTTGTTGTATGGTAGGCCACGATACACGTCACGGCAACTTTGATCTGGTATTACGTATCCGCCCAGCATATCGTCAAGTGGCCACACCGAAATGCTAGTTCTATTGTTTACGTAATCAGCGCGGACAGTTGGCTGGGTTTGAGTTATTGCATAGCCATAAATAAATCCATCGATTCGACTAACTGGTGAACGAAGAAAATAGGCGTAACAGTTGAGGTGCGTCGAACGTGCACTGGTACACAATTGGTAATGCATTCAGGTTCAGATTGTGTTACGACAGTTTTCACTAATCCCGGGCTCGCACAATTTCCCACCAACGACTACCATCCGAAATTCTTAATTTCGACTACCGAGAACCAAAAGAGGATGTACTGTACTCTGGCGAGGTGGCGCAAGTGGTTATAGCGCGAATTCACTGATCGGAAGGTCCGTGGTTCGAACCTGACCTCCGCCTCCCGACTTCCCCTGTCTAGGCTTGGGCAACCTGGCTGTGTATCCCACTAGCGCACTGCTGATAATGTCCATAATACAATTCAGAAGGTATATGCACTAATAACAGTCTTTACTGTGGTTGACAGTAGTTTACAGAAGTAATTTGCAGCATGTATAAAATAAAGGCAATATAAAATGTGGAGCAAGTCAAAAGGGAACCACTTATCGTATCTGAGAGTCCCTTGGCGAAAGTCCGGATTGCGGGAACGTGTTTTCTCCGCAGTTTGGCTGCTACACGTGTTCCATAATTGTCCGTGGACTTGGAGTGTTTGGCTGACTCCTTGCTCTTTGCGCGCGCGCGAGTCTGTGCGTGTTCACTGTGTTGTCTCTTCTTATACATAGGAAAGTTTGACGGGCGTATAGAACCTAGAATCGTTCCGATGCGTACCAGACAGGAACTGCCTTGTTGTCGGTCAAAATTGCGGGCGGGACGGCGTTTGTCACGTGATTTGTGTGTTTGCGGAGCGGACGAGTCGCATAATCTAGTGAACTCGAATGTACTAGACAAATTAAGTGAAGTTGGTTGAGGGGACATGGAAACGTCCGCTACAATCCCTGCCCTCATACTTCCTTCGAATGGTATGGCAGCTAGGCATCGGAAGGGTCTTACAGCTGAACGTATTATACTCGCCTTTAGGCCAGAATTGGCCAGGGCAAATATCCAGCGTTTCCAACTCCAACAAGTCGTGACCAACCGAATTTGAGAAAGCCTGATTTTTGAGGGTACTTTTGTCGCCACCACTTCTATTATCTACTTGTTTATGGATGCAATGGACAACCTGAGAGTTGTATTAGTCTTAGGGATAGAATGCCAAGACCACATCACAAATATGGACGTTCTCGATCTCCAACACAAACAGCTATTGGCCATCGTATCCTATAAGCCAAGGGTATTCACCGAATAGAGGTACAGGCAGTTCCGGCTCATCCGCATATCTTGTTCGGTGAAACGAACTGTTAATAATATCCATATTCGCGTACTTGTACTTCAGTGGCCTGATAACTTCTTGGTGTAGTGGTTATATAACGAACGTGTAGTTGGGTGACAGGTATTGCAAAACGTCCCTAAGAATTTGCGTTACCGCACTATCCAGAAAAATAAGACGTTTTGCCCACTGTCCCACTATGATTCGCGTAGGGCCAGATAGACATTCGAAAAACAGGGTGCTGGCCATGAAAACGTTTAGGGTGATGGTCCTTCATTTGAAGCTGAGCAGTGTCAACGCTCTGGAAATTGCCTGCATTGGTATAATTCATATGCAGCACCGCTGATAGGAAACTTTCGCCAAATATTCTTGCACTTGCCAGCGAGGTAGTGGATTCGTTACAGGTGCTTATGCCTATTCCACTGCATTGCGTCCTGGAAGGCGGAACGCACCATGCGCACCTAGACTCTTCATGACCTCTTTCACGCTCTTCTGTCAGGACACATTATCTACCCGGCATTTTGCGCCATCTGAAGGAGGCATGTAGCACAGCATTCATCACCGTAGAAAGTGTTTTGGCGTGCATAGAACATGGTTGAACACCGTAGCTGACTATACTGGATGTTCTCCGAAAATGAAATACCTGCTACACAACCAAATATCCATTTTTTTAGTTACCTCAGTACGAATTCATTGATTTCATCCGACATCAGCAACAGTTCTGAAAACACCTCATACCGTTTGTCTACAGGGTTCGTCTCGTAACCATTCAATGCAACCGTAGCCTGGTACACACGAATCGTGAGACCCAGTGATGTATCTTTTTGAAGCCACAAATGACAAAAATTAGCAGACGTCATTCGGGACTTTGGGGTTCACTCGTCGATTTCCTTCGGGTGGCATGGCAGTTAGGCAATGAAAGGGTGTTACAGCTGAGCTTTATTGGTTGTTGATCAGCTGATCAACAACCAATAAACCCACCCGAGCTACCAATATTTCACCACATTACCAGCTGAGCTTTTTATTTTTATTTTATTTTATTCTTATTGGTATCGTCACACACGCCTGTCAGAGATGACAAAACTACCTTGAATGCTTGAAAACCGAACAGTCTCCACCAGTAACGGATCCAGTCCCAATAAAAACGGTCTTGCAGCACAAGGTTAAGGTTATTGGCAGCTTCCCGTGCTGAACCCTGAACCGTTCAAAACAATAAAAGACGGCTCAGTTCGCCTCCTCGTACTTCGATCCAAAATATTGTGGCAAAACGGCGAGATGGCTAAATAAATGCTCTTCTCGTTTTAAGTGGCATTTGGATTGTTCGTCCCGATTGTCGCCGCCCATTTGTTTGATACAGAACGCTGTGCTGCACTTGAAATTTTCATCTCCCCAGCGTATGCATCCTCTGTTGAGCAGTAGGTTTCCTACCTATTCGTTGCATATGACGACCGATGTGACAAAATACAAAAAAGTTGGGATGCTGTCCTCGATGTAAGCGGTACAGATAGTGCAGGCGGTAGTCCTTTCTCAGTTACATCCTGCAACGAAGGGTGTTCCGGTTAGCACCGTGTAGTTGTGATTCGCGTGTACTGATACTCATTCGATGAGGTTACATGTGGTTAAGACTCGAACGGCCGGAATACATTTCTCTTCCGAGAAGTAACCTGAACACCCAATTATACTGAGCCATTACAATACTTCAACCAGGATGCTGTTGTGAAAGCTGACAGCCTTATGATCACGGCATTGATGCAAAAAGGAAATGGAGGTTTGCTATAAGTTATTCTGCACTGATCACATGTGCGTGATTGCATAGTAAGCTCTGCTCACTTGATAGTCATGGGATTTAGATACGATCAATGTTAATGGTCAATGATACTCAATCCATTTCTCCATGCTTTCAGAGAATCGATGAAATAATCGGTAAGCTGAATGCTGCCTGCTTTACATTCCTTGCAACAATCGTGGATCTGATGTTCCTAATTCAACCGACGAACGCTCCCTTGGTGGAAGTAAGGTTGCGCAATCTGCTGACGACCCCATCTCTGAATTCCCTAGTTCACAATCTTTTGTGTGCGGCGTTTTGGGTCCACTCAGTGCGGGTCATTCACCCATGTCGTAGAAG